GTTTTCCAGTGGCCTAGTTCTCGAGGTACGGTAGTATACGAAAAACAAGCCGGAGGCGATGAGGGCCTCGAATGGATGATAGTCAATGACGCCCGGCTGTTTCTATAAGGGTGAGAGAGGAGGCCCCGTAGGGGAGAGAGCCTCTTTTTTCACGGGCGGACAAATTCCGCCGGGGGTAATCGGCGCGCGCTCGAAATTACTGCCTATCCGACCCCCCAACCGGTTTTGTCCGACCCTCTTTAATAAATAATCGCCGAGTTATCGTGCGTTCCTCCCGTACGACCGGCGATCCGGGATAACGAACGCGAATCTAATCGTTCCGCGACGGTTCAACGCCGTGGATCGTTCAAGTTCTTATTTGTTAACCCTTTGAACTCTCTAGGCTCCAATATTGCATCAGTTGTAATATTAAACATTTTAATGAATTTTAAGAAGACTACCTTAAGATTATTAGACCTTCCAGATATACAAAGTTTGTACTGAGAAGGGAATTGAAGGTCTAAGAAATGTTATAACGGTGTTAATTTTCAGTAGGACTACCATCAAAATTGGTAGGAGTCGCTGACACGTTATGAAACCATCTGGAGTGCAAAGGGTTAACGCTAAAATTACCAAGTTGTTGACTCGTTGAAATTCCTCTGTAGAAATCCTAAGACTGCTTCTGTCTTCTAGGTCAGTTGATAGATTTATGTATTGCTGAATTAATTTCTATGGTTCCTTAGAGAATCATCTTGTCCTAATTTCTTCTAGAATTACTGCAAAGGTAGATACATTTTTAAGAAATTATTAACACGTTCTCTGCCATGAGAATTTGAGGTATTTTATACAATATTCCTTATTCCTTTATAACAATGATAAATCTTGTAGTAACCCATTCACTGTTAGCATAAAATATGTGATTTCATTTGTACTTTCAATTTATTTTGCTTTATATTACCATACATTTCAAATAAAATCAAGATTGTACCAAACTAGCAATCTTTTGCTACGAGTATATTCATCACTAGCAGTGAATGGGTTAAAGAAGTTGATTTAGTACCTAAACTGAAATATGAGCCAACTGAAATCTTAATAAGGCGGTTCAAGTGCTCGTTCCAGTGATAATTGCAGAGAGAAGACATTAGAATGAATCATTTACCTGGTAGTTTAAGTGTTAATGTTCCTCTGTACCATACAGCGCCTTGCCACCAGAAAACTTGATATCCGTTTATTCAGATCCTGAAAATGATAGATTCAAGAAACAGTTAATACATACTCGAGCAACGGCATCAATCAAAATCAACTGGAACACTCCTTAAATAACATTTACAAAGGAACCCATACCAGAACCTCCTATACACTTAACCCCTTGACCTATGATTTCCCTCCCAACTTTCAACAGTGATATATTATCGTCCACAATTCATAAAAAGAAACTACACTTATTCTACGTTTACTCAGAAGCGTTACGATCAATAGAAAAATAATCTTCAATTCGGACTTATGAAGCAACAGCTATATTTAACCCTTTGCACTCCAGAAGTTCTTCACCGGAAATATTCAATATTTTCTAATGAGATACAGACGATTCTCAGATTGAATTAACAAATCTCACATGCACTGAGGAAGAGAACCATTTTCTTTCAATATCTCGTACATTGATGCGTTATACAAAGTTTAACCCTCTATGGACCTCATTTATGTTCATGATTATAACAAAATCTATGCAGTACAAAATTAATAAATATCCACATATAAATATGAATTAACAATGTATTCAATAGTTCCAATAATTCCATCAAACGAATATATTTGATAACTTTCAAGTCTCAATGACGTTAAACTTTCACACCTGAGCGCATAAAAGTTTAAGTCAACCGATTACTTAATTTTATTCGCCACTTTAAGCGCGAAATGAAATAAATCAAGAAGATGCCACATATTGATACGTGACTTCAAAGTTACATGGGCCTATAGAGGGTTAACACGTTGGATGCCATGAGGGTCACCGGTGACCCCCATCCAAATCGAATTACTATAGTTCACTCGATTAAACCATGATTATTTGAAAACATTTCTATATTATAAATAATGCTGACTAATGTGGCGACATTCAGCTGGATGAACCTGTAATAATAACAATGCAATTCAATCGAATGATTCAATATTTTATTCTTTCCATTTCAAGTATTTTGTGCCATGAAATCGTATGGCATTCAACGTGTTAATATTAACACGTTAAGCGCCATGTCAGTCACTGGTGACTGACGCTTCTGAATGACTAAAAAACAATCGTAACACACGAGACAACCGATGTGAAATAAAAATGTTTAATAAAGCAACTAAGTTGATAATAGTGTGACGCAAACGTTGCAACGCCAAACAATTCACAATTATTCCTATCTTTCTTTGCTACAAAAGACAAACTCTATGGGAAAACGCTTAAGATTTTCGTGGCGCTTAACGTGTTAAACATCAAAGTTCACAGTTTCGCTGTGTCAAATCATTCGGTGACTCAGAGGAGCCTTCGTAGCGCAAAGAGTTCAAACACTATAATCTCCACGAGTCCGACACGACGTAGAGCAAGGGGTTGCGCAAAGGACTTCCGGTTAGTCGCAGCACTGTGTTCCAAGGGCAAAAGTGAAAGTATCTCAGAAATAAAACAATCAAAACGGGGGGGATGAATCGTGTCGTCGTCGCTGACGATGAAAAAATTCGAGGCGAGCGTGAGAGTGTGAGGGCTGAACGATAACGCGGCCCCCGAGAAGTTCCCCGGGGGAAGTTGACGGGCCGTCGCGGAATTCCCAGGTAACCCATCCGAGATTCCTCGGGGCGCGGAAGTTGGTTTCGCGGCGAAACGACGACGAGTGCCTCCCGTAGGAATTTTCCGGCGAAACTCGGGAAATTCTGCGACGTCGGGGGATGGAACGAGCGGAATCCGTTCCTCTCCCCCCCGGGCCCGTCCCCGAAACTGGTTCGCACGAAAATCGCACGCGCGGAACGAATGATCGCGGTCCTTCGGATACGATCGTCGAATCACCGGTTTCCTGTTTTGGTTGCAGAAGCCGACTACACCTTAGATGACTCCTTCTGGAGCGAGGAGACTCCTGTTGGTGAGTATGCGCCCGACGTTCGAGAGATTTATTACCCTCTTCTCTAGGTCCCTTTCTCTCTCTTCTTTTTCCGCGTACCCTTTTTACTTCTACTTTTACTCCTACTTGTTCTTTTCTTTTCGGCCGCGAAACTCCGCGGAGAGAGAGTCTCGCCTCTAATTGCAGAGGAACCGACGACGACGAGTGTCCCGCTTTTGACGCGAGGACAAAGAGCACGAGCACAGGCGAGTTGCGAAACGATTGCGTAAATAGACAACGCGTAACGGGGAGAAGATGTTCGTCAAACGTCGTCGGCGTTCCCCTTTGACGCGAGCCGACCGACCACCCTCGAGATACCGGTTGAACGAGCGCGAGATACAATTGTGCCGTTCTTATTTATTTCATCCGTTACACCTTCTGGGAAAGGACGAAGTGGAAGGATAAACGAATCGAAGGTTTCCCCTCGATTTACAAGGGTCGCAAACGATCTCTCGCGCCTCGTTAAGGTTCTAATCGGCGGCTCGTAGATGGAATTAGTGCGGTAATGTTCTATAGAAAATTTGTAGACTTGTTCTAGAATGTTTGTGTCTTTCATACACTGGGGATGGCTAGTGACATTAACCCTTTACACTCTAGACGTGATTTAACCCTTTGTGGAAGGTTTTTAGAAATGTATAAAACCTTCAGACGAAGCTAAATTATCTATCAATCGCTTAATCAATAAATTATATAAATTCAGTTATGTAACAATTACTTGAACAATAGAAACATAGGAAACTACGTGCTAGTCTCTTGCGATTCCATTAATTAAATCATTTGTTTAGGACTTAGACTTCCAAATATGAACATTTCATCTCGAAATGTTAGCAAAATTATGAACTTTGGTATTCACCATTGACCTCTGCATACTGCATCGATACTGGACATATTCTAATTAATTTCTTGATAAATTAATTTTCTCGTCTACATCTAACTGGAGAGTACTGAATATCAATTGAAGAATTTTCGAGTGCAAAAGGTTCATTGCTGTATATTGTACAAGTATAAAGAAAGAATTCAAGAAAGCACTCATTATATTAACCCTTTGCGGACGAAGATCCCTTGAAGTACAGGAAACGTTTACCAGATGAAGCTAAATTATACTTGCTTAGATAATTGAAAAAAGGAAGCTACTGACTTCTTGCTATTCGAGTAATTAAATCACCCCTTTGTGACTTAGCGTTCCAAACATGAAAATTTCATCTCGCCGTCCGCAAAGGGTTAAACGTTATCGGTAACACCGAATAGAAATTGCGGCTGCTGCAGTTGCACAGTCCTATACGAGCCGCTGGTTCCAACACCCGATTCTAGGACTCTGGACAGAAGTGAGCCTGGCAACCTGACAGGGCAAAGAATTAATAGCGATATTATCGATGAGGCCATTAAGATGATCGATACGCTCACAGTCTAACGATCGGTTCGCGTGCGAGGACCGCACGCGTGCGGTGCCACGCGTCAGTCTCCGACCTTTCCGAACGGCGAATTCGAACGTTGTAACTATTATTTTTCTGTCCTGGTCGTAGGGAACGGTCGAGAGACTCCGGGCAGTCGATCGGCGAAACGAGATTCTCGATTTATCACGGGAAACCAGGGGGAACCAGGGGTGGAACGCTCGATCGAACCCTCTTAGCAGCTTCATCTCCGTCGCTTTGTCTTGTTAAAAACCGGAGGAACCATTTTCTTGCGATGTCCCGGCGAAATGTACGCAAAGGAAGCTCCGCAAAGGGGGCGGAGGGCCGACCGCATTGCAGCACTTCCCTCTCGGAAACGCGATCCGCGGTCACATCTACTTCTCGGACGCGGAGAATGGTTTATTGTTAAGTCAACATGCCGGTGATTGCCTGGAAACGCGAAACTTAAATTGAGTTAAATTTTCGAGACGACGTGGCGCGACGAGGACACGGTGCGTCGGGACGGACGGACGGACGGACGGACAAGGGGTGGCCAACGTGGCGTGAACGTTCGATCGGGCAACCGTGAAAATCGGCCGTCCCCGATCTTCTTTCGTTTGCCGAGCGGCGCGCTCCGCTTCCTGTCGCGATCCTGTTTCGTTGCATTTGAATTACAAACCGCCTCTCCTCGAATTAACACGCCGAACGCCGCGCGACTTCGTAGAACGAAATACAGAAAATGGGAAGAACGGAATGGTAACCCTTTGCGGACGAAGATTCGAAGAATCATACGAAACCTTCGACGTATGAAGCTGAATTGTATATCGATTGATTAACCCTTTGCACTTCAGAAACTTTTTATCGAGAATATTCAATATTTTCTTAGATTGAATTAAGAAATCTCACATGCATTGAGAAAGCGAACTATTTTCTTTCAATATTTCGTACATTGACGCACTATACAAAGTTTAATGTTAAATATCGAACTTTACAGTTTTGCTGTGTTACATCATTTGGCGTTAATTAACCCGTTGCACTCTGTAGGCTCCACTATGACACCATTTATACTATTAAATATTTTAATGAATAAATTTAGAACTATCCTGAGATTACTGGATCTTCTATATATCTAAATTTTGTATTAAGAAGGAAAATAAAGAAATCTAAGAGATGTTGATTTGTTGGTAGATTACAAAATCATGTGGAGTGCTAAGGGCTAATAGAAAGAAAGAAAACTACGTGCTGATCTCTTACTGTTCGACTAATTAGATCATTTCTCCACGACTTAGTCTTCCAAATCTGAACATTTCATCTCACCGAAATGACATCCGTCCGCAAAGGGTTGAATCATTCGTTTGAATTGCATCATTGTTGCACGTTGATCTGGCTGAATGGCACCGTGATAAGAAATGTTTTCGAATGATCATCGTTTGATTAATGAACTATAGTAGTTCGATTTGGCTGGGTCACCGGTGACCCACGGCATTCAACGTGTTAATCATCCTGCTGCTCGCTGTTCTTCAGACTTGAATTCTCCAGTGAAAAATGTCGAGTTTGTCGAGCGGAAATCGAGTGGAGCGTCCTGTGGATCTGTTGGAAAGGAGGTTTGAACTGTATACAACTTATGTGCAGATTAAGTCTGGACTGAATAGAAGCGAGCAAAGCCTAGAGTCCTCTATTGGCGGAGTGCTGGAAGCCACGCGAGAATACAGGTCGAGGAACAAATGACCTCTGCACTAAAATCGCAACAAGCTTCATCGCTGAACGTAACAGCATTGTATATACTTATTCCTACTGTGACCAGTGAGATAAGTGTTTGCAAAATGTTAGGTTCAGTGATAAAGCTGCAATTTTTATCAGTAAATATAACAACACTTTGTATATAATTTCTACTGTGACTAGACAACTGTTTACAAAATGAGGGTGGAGAAACTAGATGAACTTTTCTTAGTGGTAACAGAAAAGGAAACATTAATATTAGAAAATTAATAGGACAATCTATGAATTGATATGAAGTTAATTGAACAAAAAACGCATGTCAATGAAATTTAAAAATGAGTACTAGATGAAACTATCTGCAGAGTTATTTCGAATCTCAATGCTTCCAAGCTATCGATCGTTGCAAGAGAACCGGAAGTTACATCGGTACGGTAGTTCCAGTGTTAATCGTCAATTACATAGAATATAGGCCGAAGAGTTCCCGGGGAATTCCCGCATTCGTCGAGACCGGTACGATAACGTTAATTCGTGCCCTGCGCAGAGGGGAACGACCGGCACTGCAGCTGTATTCATATTCATGTAATAAGTTTAATTGAATTTTATCGCGATGGAACGCGTCCGCGGGAGAGCATTACCGACTGAGTAACGAGTCGCCCCACGTAGAATTAGCATAACCGCCGCTGCGCCGGTTATACGTTCGCTATTCCGGCTGCGCCATCTTGGCGAAACGCAACGCGCATCCTTAACAAGCGTTGCACAACCACTCTTCGCACGTTTCCTCGAAAAATTCTTTGAATACTCGAGAATCGTTCGACGAACAGTATTCCAAATGAATAGCTGTGTCGTGAAACGTTGTTCAACATGTTCACACCGGCGTGTACCACCGGTTCACAGTAATATACATTAAACGGTACCAATGATGACATTTTCATGTTACATTAGACGGTGCCATGAATGTGGTTCGTCAAATGGTTTGCTAATTAGGAAACGTCATATAGTTGACAATTAACACGTTAAGCTCCATGTCACTGGTGACACTTCTGAATGACTAGATAACATTGTAACAAGATAACTGATGTAAATGAACATGTTTAGTATAAGTTAATAATAGTGTACTGCAAAGTTAATTCACTTATTGATCGTTTCAATGTTTCCATCAATTTTGAGAAAGAGATGGGAAAGAGTAAATCACCGGTGTGAACGTGTTAATCTCTTAACTTTTGAGGACATTGGGGAAGCAGTGACTAGTCGCGTGTCGCGATTACGAAAATCAAACGAAATCTCGTCGAACTCGGTTCGACGTAGGACCGCAAAGAGTTCGGTTGACCGGGAATCGTCGATGCCTAAATATAAATTCGGAATTTGAATGGCAAACACGAATCCGATTCCGTCTAACGCAGCCCCGGCCATAGTTCCCAAACAGACCCGAATTTTCCGGCAGACCTGACGCAAACTCGAGCCGGGTTATCTAGCACACTTAACCCGAATTTCCCTGCGCGTCTAATTCAAATATCCCGGCACGCCTAACCCGAATTTCCCAGTACGCTTCAGCCGACCCGCCCCGGCCCGGCCCGGCTCGTATACAGGCCGAGTCGCCTAAGACGAACCGCTCGAACGTCCTCTACAGTTTTCAAGACGAAGAGAAACATTTCATAGAACTTACTCCGTTGAAGCTTTTAAAAGATTTCAATCTCGTTGAGACGTTTGATCGAATTTCTGTTCACTATGAAAAATGTAGTTGTCACTTGTGGCGGCAGCTTCTCTAGCACTTCGTCGATGGAGAACTAGCATCTAGGCCTTTCTTGCTTTGAATCAGTTACTCAATTTGTATAAGCACTCGTGAAACCTGAAATCATTGCAGCGTCTAAGGCATAGATCTATAAGAATACTTTACTATTGATTACTCTCTACTATGAAAAATGTACTTGTCACTTGTGGCGGCAGCTTCTCTAGCACTCCGTCGATAGAGGACTAGCATCTAGGCTTTCTTGCTTTGAATCAGTCATTATTCAATTTGTATAAGCACCCATGAAACCTAAAATAATCATTCCATCGTTTAAGGCATAGATCTATCAGAATACTTTACTATTGATTACTCTTTACCATGAAGAATGTAGTTGTTACTCATGACAGCAGCTTCCAGCACTCCACTGACACACCACCGCATTTAAGCCTTCCTCTTTCAATCAGTCCATCCTCAATTTGTACAAGTACCCATGAAACCTCAAATCATTACAATATTTAAGGCACAGATCTATCAAAATGCCTTACTACTAACTATTTGCTACCATGAAAAATATAGTTATCATTTCTAACAGCAGCTTCCAGTACTCCACTGACACACTAACACATCTAATCCTTCTTTCAATCAGTCCATCCTCAATCTGTACAAGCACCCATGAAACCTGGAACAATCATTCCACCACTGAAGACACATCTCTATCAGACTACCTCACCACTAAACGAGTCCACCGTCGAGTCCATTGATAACTCCTAAACGAAACACTCTCCCTCTCTTCAGACTTCCCCAAGTTCCATCTGCTTTTCATGAAATTCACAGGACGCTTCGCACTTATCCCTCAGAATGCGAGAGCCCGTCCCCGAATCCCTCGGCGGGTCCGACCCACCGTAGAAAATCCACGGCGCGTCCGAACGATACGAACCGAGCACCCTTGAACCAGAGAGCGGTAATTAGCCCAGTCCGGAATGGTTCATCGCTCGCGCCTGAAAAACGCGGACTTGTCCCCTGCACACGGGGCTTGAACGGAGGCGTTCACCCGGACTCGATGAGAGGGTGAACCGGGCGAGGAGGGTGGCAACACGGTTCGGGGCACCCTCCGATCGTCTCGAGTTAATCGCAGCTCGTCGACAGTTTACACGAGAGAAATCTTACAAGAAAAAAAGAAAGAAATAACAATAACACATAGATGTTTAGATATAAAAAAAACGTAGCTATTGCCTACCTTGGGCTCAATCCACGGACTAACTAATAAAACGACAAGCAATGGGTCCCTGGACTTTATTGCTGCTAGGATAGGCTCGCAAAACGGTTTTTGTATCTAAACGCCTACAAACAGTAACAGAAGTTGAAGCAAACGCTCGCGCGTCCTGGGACGAATCGGTTCCTTAGTCGACATACAGACAGACAGACGAGCAAGTGCATATATACACGCGTGTTCGGGCAGAAGATGAAACCAGAGATATACCGGGCGGTGAATTGGCAGGACGTATTCGATTCACCGAGCGGGAAATTGATTTCAGGTGAGGTCGAACGACTACTGCGTGAATACCGACAGAACCAAGAGCTAGTACGAAATATCGGGGCCCATTACTATCAGATCATCTACCCGGTACAGTTACGGCATCACGAGAAAATGGGGATATCCACGAGAGAAGTTTCGAAGGTAAATGAAATGAACTGCGACGACGCGGCGCTTCTGCGAGTACTCTCTCGCCGGACGAGCGGGGTGTCTTTGGGAAAGCGGTGCGCCTCGAACAGTCCGGGAAACTGAGAACATCCCCGGGAACACCGATGCGTTCCATTTGATCCCGTCCCTCCGCTTCACCCTCGCTCGAGGAGGATCGTCTTTCGCAGAGACACTCGCGTCTCGCCGGCGACCCTGTCCGCTATTAATCCGGAGCATTCTCCGTCGTTTACAGTTTCCTCAAAGAGGATACAGCGAGAGCGGATATCCGAACTCTAGAGGCAGGACGAAAGTAAGTGTGATCGATGGGCGACGAGATTCTCGGCCGAGACGAGCGGATTCCTTGTCCGTCCACGAATCGAGCTGTTTCTTATGAGCCTCGCGGAGCGCGTTACGCTCGAGTCGCGTCGGGGAAGGAATTACGCTCATTCCTGCGCGGCTTAACCCTTTGCGCTACGGACGTGCTGATTCGTTTATGTGGAACTTTAACTCCTTGCCGTACAATGAGACTCGTGCTGAAGATTTTCGGATTAGTTTGATAAAGATCAATCTTGTTCGATCCTCACGGATCAAAACGAGAAACTATTTTGCTGTTGTCAATGTATCTTCAAATGAAATTTCCACTTAACACTTTGACTGCCACGTCACCCAAATTCGGGTGAGACTATTTTTCATGTAAACTTGAATATGAATTCTCTTGGTAACGTATCGAACGAACCGAATTTTGTTGGATGTATGAGATATAAGAAGAATCTTGACCTTTTAGTTTCTACTTAAGGAAGAAAACTGTTTCGAGTACATGGGAGTTTTGACGAGTGTTTACTTAGCAGTCGAAGTGGTAAGGCAACAGAAAATTTTGTTACGTTTCTTCTGAATTGTCGATAGTAAAATGCTGCACGAGCTCGAAAGTAAATAATACGGCAATGGGTTAACCAGTTAACTGTGTTTGACGAGTGTACACGTCATCGTGAAGCTTGACGTGATAATTGTTTCGGCGATGAGCTCTTCATTTTTTCACATAAACATGTAATGATTCTTTGTTTCGCTTTGATCTTTCATTAAAATATAGTTCGTGCTGCGTTCGACGAGTACATTTTTCGATTTTATTGCGCGAATGAGAGGTTTTTCCAACTAAATTCCACAGTTAACTGGTTAAGGAAATTAAGATTTCATTTTGAGAAAGAAAAGATAAATATCCATGGATTCTTAATTTCTCTTAATTACATTCGTTAATCTGTTGCTCGAGTAAAAGAAAGCATACAATTAACACGTTCGAGGACATAACGCTATAGCATTGATTTTCATTTCATCAAAATGACACGAATGCCGTAACAATGAAATTTATAAGCACATTGTCATGAACTGAATTCTGTATATCCTTAACACTAAACCTACCGAGCAATTAGAGCGACTTATTCTCACGTTTGTATAAAAATTAAAGCAATACGTTTCTTAAGATTCGAAGAGCCTTCTATTTTAACTGAAAATCTTTCGCAAAACCGCCTTCACAATTGAAATACAAAACAAACATTCTTAATGTTAATCTATTGAAAGTATTACGCACTTCAACCCTCGGACAGCATTCGTTTCTATTTGTATAGCTTATTAAACTTTCCACTGTCGACGAACGTGTTAACGATGAATCACATAAGCTCCAAGAAGCAACGCACATTGTGCCTATAGCAGAGCGAACGGAGTGCAAAGGGTTAACAATTTGGAGAGCCTAAGCTGCACTAAACCTGAATCTTTGATTTTCAGACGGGGAGACACGTTCATCGGACGTCCCTCTTGATCAAGGCCTTTAGTTACAAATTGCGCCTAGACTTAGAATTAAATACGTAAGTGGATTTCCGCGGAAATCGAGAGACCGCCG